ATATATTATTGGCCAAATGCTATTAGACAAGCCTTCCGACCAAACTTTTGTGCCTAAGAATTCCATTCTGCACATAGGCGAGATCAAATTCGTGACCCCAGAGGACTTACAACCTCTGTCAATCAAAGAATCACGGTAAGCGACACACGCTCTCACATATAGGAAAAGTTATTACATCAGAACTCCACATATAGAGCTGCTTGCGGAGTCCAGTCTCGAGTTGATACGGGGAAAGCTAGGACTCACCTGCATAAAAAATGAAAAATAAGATTGAAAACACGCACCAATAACACTTTGTTCATGTGTTATTCTGAATATTTTCACGTTATTCATGTGTTATTGGTGTGTTATTGAGGTGTTATTCATGTCAGGTAATATTTTTCATGTTTTTAATGTGTTATTGGTGTGTTACTCATGAATAACACATCAATAACACACCAATAACACGTGAATAACGTGAAAAATATTCAGAATAACGTGAAAGAAATATTCTTATAACACGGTAGAGTCGGGTCGCGCGTTTTTAATATTTTATTGGTGTGTTATTCATGTGTTATTGAAGTAATATTTTTCGCGTTATTCATGTGTTATTGTTATTATTGTTTAAAGAATAATACTATCTCAAAATCAACTCAATAACACATCAATAACACAGTCAGGCCGGGTCCCGCGTTTTCATTCCTTTTTTTATTTTATTTTTTATGGAGGTGGGTCCTGACTTTCCACGTGTCAACTCTAGATTGGACTTCGCAAGCAGCTCTGCATGCGGAGTCCTGATGTAATAATTTTTTTCACATATTGATATATATGTGACAAACTCTTAAGTATTTTATATTAGTACTATTTATTTATTTATTTATATAAATCTAAAAACATAAAGATATATTTCATCTTAGATAAATATAAGTTAAGGATATCTTTAATTTAATTTAAAATTTTATGGTATATGAGTAAATGAGTAAATTACCCAAATACTTACGAGTTATATATATGGGACTATTTTGGTTCTAGAGAATGATCCTTACTAATTCCAGCCCCTATTAAAATAGTATTGGAACTAATTTGGCACTCCTAAAAACTCTAACTAAAATGAGTCATCATAAGAAAAAAATTTAGACTATTTTAACAATTTTCACATAAGTAAATATATAATTTTGCATATTAAATATATAAATTTATGCATGTCCGTGAATCACACCAAATGAATAAAACACTGATAATGAGTGAGATAGAGATGAACATTAATGAGTGGTCTCTTCTTCATTAAATGCTTCCCCTATTTTGTACAGAGTGTAGTATGATGATGATATTACATTTTTATCACTATGTGAAAAGTGTTTATCCTGGGATATTTTTGATATTTTACAAACGCTATCATATCATTTTGTTACCTACAAGCTTGACCAACTAAGCTCAGTTAAATGATTTAATTGGGTGAACTCGGTCAACTTATCTCAGTCAGTAGAGTTCAGTTGACGGATCCAGCCTGATTGACTATCTTTAATCTATGGAAAGGAGTTTGGCTCTCTGTTCGATGGCTAAGGATGCTTTGTGGAACTGGCTCTTCCATTAGATACACTCTACTACAATATAAGCTGCTATATCGACATCGAGTTGGCCTTTTTGCAGTTGATGGTACAAATGCTCTCTTCTCATTTCTGCTTGAATAATTTACATTTGGATCTATTGATCATCTTCCTGTCCCCCTTTTGGCTCAACCTATTTTGGCCTAGTTGATTTGGTTCACGTGTCTTAGCTCATCCAAATTGGTAGGCCTCATGATTCCTTTACCGTAAATCCAGCTCCATCTTATTATTCACTTCTAGATTGTTAGATCTCTATAATATTAGTGTAGAAAACTTTATGATGTACATGTATGTAAGTAAATTTCCCAAGAAAAATTATATTTCTAATTTTAATCCTATGTTTAATTATTATGAAAAATCAATTGTTCATATCACACATTAATATTAGAAAATTATATTAAAATAATTATTATGCATTATGTATTTGACATAAAAATCTTAAAATAATTTATTTTATCTTTAAGAATAATGGAACATCCTTGATTTCTTACATAATTTTCAAAGTACAAAAGATTTTATAAAACAAGTATTTTGAATAAATAGTGTTGAACATGATTATAAAAGCTAGCATCTAATCTTGTAATGTCAAAAGCTCCTAACTCTATTTCTTTTATTTGTTTATTACCTATTTGCATTCACAAATAAATGCAATAGGATGTGTTAGTATATCATTGAAGACATTCAATTTTTTAATGAATTATTTTTGTGTCAAGTTAAAGTACCAAAAATAATATTGAAAACCTAAAAAATGCATAACAAAAGAGCTTGTTCATGAACAATATTAAATGAGTTGGTTGATGTTCAATTTTGATCATTTAACCTTCAAGTTAAAAAAAAAAATCAAAATTGTTTATTTACTAACTTGAACAAATATGTACAAGTATTAAATGAGCCAAGTTTGACTTATTCATCCAATGCATAAGTTCATTTACCATCCCAACGTAAGATGATCTCCCAAGAATGTGTTGATGATCCCACTCATGTGGTGGACACTGATAAATCTGTTATTATTTAGGGTAGTGTTAAAGTAATTTGAGAGTTCGGTGAAAATTTTAGTAAATATTTGCTTGGCCTACTACATGATTTTGAGCAAGTTTACTATAAATTTGGCCCTAGATTTGTCGGTCCATTTGAGATTGTGGAGAGGATTGGGAAGGTAGCATATATATTGGCTTTACGAGCTCATATGCAGGGAGTGCATAATGTTTTCTACATTTCTTCACTGAGAATGTATATTGCATATGAATCTAGTAGCAGGGTGATAACTGACTCTGTTGATATTCAACTAGATTTGACTTATGTTGAGGAGCTTAAAAGAATACTGGATTATGATTTGAAGAAGTTGTGGAACAAAGGGAATTCTTTTGTGAAGATTTTATGGAAGCACTAGTCAAAAATGATGCCACTTGGTAAAAAGTTTCTGAGATGCAAAAAAGACATCCACAACTTTTTGTTTGAGATATGTTATTTTTATTTTAACTCTTTTCAAATTTTTAGGACAATTTTTTATAAGGAGGGGAAATTGTAATAACTAAAATTTTAATAAATGTATAAAAGATTTATAATATTAATGAATAATAATACTAATGATAAAGTAAATAAAATAAGTGTCTCTTAGGATAAACACACCTCTTGGTAGGGATTAATCGCAACCTCTGTCATTTCAATCCTCATTCGACCCACTTAACGAGCAGAATGAGAAAAAAAGTTACAACTACTGTGGTTCATAATCAAATTATGGCCTACGCAACTAATTACAATTGACGTGGTCCATAGCTCGTACAACTCTCGACGCAGGCCTTCGAGGACTACGAATGTTGCCACCGCTCAGCATTACGGCTTGTGTGACCAACTACGGCAGCTCCCTACTTCGACACCTGTAGCCTGCAGATGTCTTCACAGCTCACCACTACGGCTTATGTGGCTCATAGCTTGTCCAACTTTTGATTCGGGCCCCCACAACCTACGAATATTACCACAACTAATCACTACGACCCTTCGTGACTAACTACAACATATGTGGTTCACAGCTTGTGCAACTCCTAACTCAAGCGCCCTGTGGCCTACGAACATTACCACAACCTACCATTATAACCGGCATAACCAACTATGACCTACGTGGTTCACGGCTCGTGTAGCTCCACTTCGGCCCCCGTGGCCTACAAAACATCCCATCATAGCTCACCACTACGACTTACGCGACCCACTACATACTGCATGGTTCACGACTCGTGCAGCTTTCGACTTCGGCCCCCTCGGCCAACAAACATCCTCATAGCTCACCACTGCAGCTTTATGTGACCAACTATGGTCCATGCGGTTCACAACTATGTATCGACCATCGCAGCCTACAAATGTCGATACATCTCACCGCTACGGCTTACATAACTAACTACATCCTATGTGGTTCACAGCTTCTACAGCTCCATATTCTAATCCCTATGGCCTGCAAATATCATGAGCTCACCATTATGACCTATGTTGATCAACTGCAAACTACGTGGTGCACAGCTTCTTACTACGGCCTTTATGACCAACCGGCAATCCTGAAACAATAATGTGTAGGCCACTTGACAACTACTACCATGACACTGAACTACTGCCTATAGAACAAGCTGTTGCTATGACAGCTGTCTACAACAATCATCGCG